CAAGCTTTTCAGGAGAAGTGACAGTGCGTTACGCGAAGCGATCTGGTAAGGCGACAGGCATTCGAATAATAGTTTAAGTTTCAGTTGAAGTGTTTGTTGCATTTAAAGTGAAATAAAGTTAAATTTGATTATTGTTCAGTGTAGTCAATTATAGGTCAACCCACGAGGAAAAACGTAACAATATTGTACAGTCCGTAAACAGAACTGAAGCAATATGGTATTATCAAGTCTGAAACAGAACCGAAAATTCCAAAAATCAACAAATCCAAATTCGTGGCTAATGAACTAAACAACTATTTTGCAATGGTAGGATCATGAACAGGAAGTAAAATTGGAAATATAAATAATATTCGACCATAATATTGTTCTGAGGTGGATTAAAAAGAAATGAAAACTATTTTAAATGAAATGAAACATAAAAGAACTGGGGATATGTTTGGAATTTCAATCGGCCTTTTAAAGAATGTAAGTGATGTAATAGTGCAACCTATTGCATTAATAATCAATAAATGCATAAACGAAGGGGTGTTTCCAGATGAACTGAAGCATGCAAAAGTTATACCAGTTTATAAAATAAGGGGAAAATATTCCAAAAACTTCAGACCCATTTCAATTGTACCAAAACTTTTTGAAGTGGTAATTTAAAAGAGATTCAGATTTCAGAAAGGATGATCTACAATGACAGCAATGATAGAGATTATCCACAAAATCATAGATGCCATTGATAGATTCCCATATTAGATATGGAATTGCCTTCTGGGGAGACTGCTCCAGAGACTTGTTTCAAATGATTTTTGTTCTTAAAAAAAGGGCTGTCTACTACATGTGCAAAGCTGCGTCCCAGGTTATATGCAAACCCTCTTTTCAAAGCTCATGGTATTTTAACAGTAGCCTCCCTATATATTTTGGAAACAATATTTTCAATAAAAAAACACCATTTGTCTCATGTGAGCCACACTCATCCTCATAATACCCGAAGTCACATTAGCAATATTGAACAACCAACCTATTTCCACGAGCGCATTAGTTAGAGACACAAATATTTTCAATGGCATCNGCACCTGCATGTGTTTTCACAATGAAAATAATGATACTAATATGTATCATTTACAATGAATAAATTGTTTGATCGATATAAGAAGTTATTATGATTGTCAAGCAACGAATTTTACAACAAACTCCACATATTTCAATTTGATACTATGTATACGATTTTTGATATATTTCCTTGTATCCGATACCTCTTTTTACAAGAATACATGCACTACTACGAACACAAGTCAATACTTGGTTATTCAAGTTAGTAAAATGAAGAATTGCAAAAATATATTATTTGTGTACTCACTTATTAAAATGGCAACGCACACCAAGATAGCAACCAAGAAATTTGAGTCAATTCCAAATGTGACAGCCTGTACAACTCCATAATTACAATCAGAGTAGGCTTGGTACTGATCCGATGGAGCTCCGAGATTATAAAAAACATCGTTGTAAGTCAAATTTCGGATACATCCTGTGAAACCAACGGACGTAGGAGGTAAGTGGCTCCAAACAGCTTTGAACTCTTCATCACTGAATCTGAATTTGGTTCCTCCTAACTGAAGAGGTCCACTGGATCGAATTAAACCTTTGTTTTCTCTTCCTTTCCATATTGAACATACTGTTTTGCAATCATCCACTTCAAGTGATATATCCTAAAACAAATTTACTTTAGAGCTTTTTAGAAAAACATACTAATGACTGAAAATATAGAAAGAGTATGTGTACAAATATTATAACTATCGAAATGACTTTTACATGTCAACAGACAGAATAATATAAAAAATTACTTACAAAAAGTATATGATCCCAGATATCTGATTAAACCCCAGATTCAGTATAATCTGAATTATATTTTGAGAGTTGGTTATTTCTCAATTAAAAGTATTAATCAGTGACATTTTCAAAAATTGTAGTTTTCCTAATTTGATGTGATTGTGAGTAATCAATTTCCAGAATATCATTCATTCATTTTATCTGGTAAATCAATGAATTCTCAAGACAATTATAGGTCTACCTACGATAGTTTCCATGGTAAATGTATCAGTAAATTGGATAAAAAAACATTTGACATAATTTCAGGAAGACGAGAATAGAAAAGAAACAAAACTCCGAGATGGTGGAGTATGATTGAAGGACTACAGAAATGTGTTTCGTCTGCTACTGTGGCTAACATCTTCAGTGGTGAATGCATTGTCTGCGAGGATAAAGATAATATCTCGAAGTCTCAGCAACAACTGACTACGACTTCAGTGAGGTCAGAATATAACCCTGACACTTTTTAAAGTTTACATTCTGAGTTATGTATGATACTATTTTTTATATGGCAAGTTCAGTTGCTATGCCGTTTCTGAACCCATATTGTCGAAGAGGAAGTGCTTGGTTAAGATTTCAACAGAAAATTATTCTATAGAGTCTTTCAACAGGAACTTCCGAACTTTGACAATTGATAGCGGCCATCTTGTTCTGCCAAATCACCATGGACGGATATAGCATTCACCAACACATGCAAATAATAAAATTATTTTATCAAAATGGGTATTCTGTTCGGGCAACGCACCGCGCGCTTTCTTCATTTTACGGTCGCCATAATCGTCCTATCAAGAGGACTATTCGCACTGTGGTGGATAGATTTGGATCCACTGATTCAGTAAATCATCAACCAACACCCGTACATCCACAAAACACAAGATTTGCCGAAAACATCACAACTTGGCGAATTTTGCGTCGTGACTTGGACCTGTACCCTTACAAAATTCAACTGACTCAGGAACTGAAGGTGAACAACCATAGACAACGACATTTGTTCCCTGAATTATCCCTGGAGCAGTTGGCAACTGACCCTTATTTTCATTGAAGAATTATTTTCAGCCATTAGACCCATTTCTGGATGAATCGTTATGTGAACAAACAAAATTGTCAAATTCGGGACGATACCAATCCACATGAGATTCAAGAGCCTCGAACGTATCTCGAAAAAGTCACTGTTTGATGTGGATTTTGCGCTGGCGGCGTTATCGGTCCATATTTCTATGAGAACGACGTTGGTCAGGCCATCACCGTCAACGGCGAGCGCTATAGGTCGATGAGTTGAAAACCAACAACATGTGGTTTCAACAGGACGGTGCTACGTGCCACAAAACTCATGCCACATTGGATTTTCTGCATGAGCGATTTGAAGGCATGGAAGTGATGTGAACTGGCCACAGAGATCGTGTAATATGACTCTATTAGACTTTTTCTTGTGGGTTCTTTGTTAAGTCGCAAGTGTATGCGAATATGCGCATACACTTGCGCATATTCGCAAGTGTATGCGCAAGTGCTTAATGAAGTCCCAATATTGATACCCTCAAGAAGTAATATTTTCTCGCTTAGTATATGTATATTTTAATGTGTTCCTTTTTAGTATAATATATTTTAACTCGTACTGTTGTTTGTATTTTTAGACTTTGTCTATAAGATGAATATTCTGCTGACAATGAAGTATATTTGACTTGATGTGATATTCAATAAGACTCCCAGATATTGAGCTGTGATTTAGGCAAAGCTGTTGATACTGTCGATCACGACCTACAGCTAGAGAAGTCATATTATGGAGTAAGAGGAATTCCATACAAACTGCTTGATTCATACCTGTCAAATCGTCTTCAGACAACATGGTGGAGAATTCACTTTCTCAGACACTTCCAGTAACTCAAGGAGTGCCACAAGGTTCTATTTTAAGATCAATTGTGTTCATCTACACAAATGACCTCAAAAATATCAGGGTTTATGAATCAAGTGCATACGCAGATGACACAACTTTTCTAGTGAAAGGTAAAGATGAAAGTGACTTGAGACAACAAACAAAGCAAGCTCTAGCTGAAGCAAATATTTGGTTTACTGAAAATATACTTTTGCTAAACAAAGAAAAAACACAACGGCTCGTGCTGTCAAACAAGAAACATACAAGGAAAAAGTCACTGAAATTTCTTGGAATATATATGGACCCAAAACTAAATTGGAAGGCACAAATAAGTGATTTGAGTAAGAAGTTGTGGAATTGGCCGCCGTGGTAGTGCGACCGACTCACGATCGGCAGGCCGTGGGTTCGATTCCCGCCTCGACCAGATATTTTTCTCGAGAGAATTTATTTGGTGGAAGCTCGAATGATTCTGCAACCGTGTTAAGAATCACACGTTAATAGGTAAGACCTCGTTAGTCCTTAGCTCGCACAAGTTTCTCAACTTCTGAGAGTTGTCGTTCGTATGGGGGCGACAACGATTAACGGAAAAACAGATTTTAAACACATTTAAACAGCTTAATTCAGCAATATATTGTTTGAGGAGAATGAAAACAATTTCTACACACTAAGCAGCTAAAATATACTATTATACAAAAAAATATATATCTACCCAACATGTTTTTCAAAATCTGACATGTGACTATTAAGTATACTTACATCATAACCAGAACCGATTTTAATTTTATGAAGAGCTCCGTCATTCAGCTTTTTAATGTTTTCCGTCAAATGTATTTCTTCTGTACCTAATCCAGAATTTATTTGAAGTAAAGGAAATCCATTCTTAAGCTCCAAGGAAATGTAACCTGTAATATTATAATGCATCATGTTGCGATAGTAAAAAAAGTTAAATGAACATAGTATAATTTCGACTACACATTGAAATAAATAGTCTGAACAAATTAGTATTTCCCGGTTATCATAGAATATATGATTTGAAAAATATCTGTCAGAAAGCAATTACTTCTATGGCTAATACTGCGCTGGATATTGAAATATAACTGACAAAAATATGGGTCAAGTTCCTTGAGAAGACCAACCTTCATATATAGAATAAAATTTTGTCATTAGGATGATCCCAAAAAATTCAGTTCTTATTGGCACTGCCAACTGTCAAGTTGGATAAACATATATGGGTACCAATCATTTCTCAGTTATGATGTATTATTCGATATCCATTTTTTAAATTTAATTCTAGGCCTACCCATTAGCAATAAAGTAAATTAACTGTATCCAATAAAAAAATTCTCTCCAGAAATGTATTTTATAATTGTGTCACAATTTCAATGTTTTTTATTCCTAATCATGTAATGTACAATAATTTTTTCTAATTTTTAAGTATATCCATTTATTTTTAATGTATCTTTTGGATTCACAAAAAAAATCCCCACAGAGTAGGGAAGCAGCATTCCTTTTAAGAAAATGATTTTCTTTCTGACCACACCGGTCTTAACTAGAACCGAATACTTCATGATGAACATCATCACCTCATATACTGGATTTGCTTCTAATGTCAAAAAAGTAAATCAAGGTATCTATTAAAAACACCATCATGGAGGTACTGATGAATTACTCAATCTCTTATTTCGAAAAGTCATACATTATTTATAAACCTAGATCCTAAATATGGTTCCAGAAAACCACCAGCACTAATTTAATGTTATGTAGCCATAGACTCGAGTATTATTATTTTTTAAAGAATATGCCGGTCAGGACCTTTCCCTTTAGCCACAATACATTCAGAAAGCACGCTTGGCATCAATAACCAATAATCACCTTCCAAACCGTGTAGTACATGGTCGAGTCAGTCAGTCATAAATGACATTTGTTTGGTCAAAACTTGTAGACTCAAAGTTTGAGAGTAGGGAGGATGTTATAGTCATCATCTCACTTGAGTGACATATTGGTATAATGCACTGAATGATCTCGAATAAAAATATTGGTTTTCTACTATGGTTATCAAAAAGTTATGAGGATACAACTCCAAATATTATCAATATTGAAAACACACCTAACTTATATAAATGTATGCATCCAAATCGAAGGACTTACTACGTTCTACAGAATAACATTTTGTATTACTGCACAGTAGTAATACAAATAATATTCATAAATTTGAATAACTGAATAGAGAAATGTCAAATAATACACCTGATTCATTCAATCAGTTCATAAAAATTTAATAACTCTGCTTTATGGTTGGTGTGTTATTAAAAGTAATTCTCACCCTTTGATAGTGTAGCCTGTCGTGCAGTTAAAGGTCCATTATAAAATATTAAACCATCATCAGTTTGTGAAAGGATATGTAAAGTAATTTCTGTTTTATTTGAAGCATCGAATGATGGATACATTGCCCAGCCGTTTCCGGTAAATCCAATTCCGAGAATTTCACAATAAGGACCTTCAAATCCAGAGGGGCACTCACAAATATCACCAATGAGCTGTCCACCATTCAAACAATGTGGTATTATGGGAATAGTACCACATATGGGTTCGATAAAAGCATTCACCCCAACGAAAGAAGTTTTATTAGTAAAAACCACAGCCGGTTCTTCTACTATATTTAATCTGTTGCTACATGATCCGTCCATTCCACATACAGTTTCATTCAAACATTCATTTATGTGAATCATGACAAAACTGAGACCTAATTTAGTTTCAAGCTGAAATCAAAACATATTAATTTTTGAAATTAATTCGAAATAATTTAAAACTCACCTCTGTTTGGTGTTCCGTAATCTTATTTTCAAGCTTTTCAGGAGCATAATATGGAGAGCCGTGGGCGGAAAATCTTACATCAATGAAAGAGTTATTCTGTTGAGGGGATTGCAGAACAGTAAAGACATCTACATTTGCCAAAGAGGTGTTTACTATCTTTGCGATATGTTGGTGTAAAAGGTCTTTTTTGCTCAAACCATTCTAAAAAATATTTCCGTTATTAGACAAAATGTTTCATGTTTGAAATCTAAAAATCTGTTACAAGTAATCAACAACTTATTCAACATTTCCTGTAATTGGATGTACACTTGTGGGAAATAAAATGCTATCTATCTCTCTATCTATCTATCTATCTAAGAAAATGAGTCTGTGGCCAAGAGTGAGACCAAGAATATTTGAAGCTACCTGAAACTAATTTCCGGCAAAATTATTCAAGTGCTCAATTGTCTTCTGCAATAAAATTATATAATGATGGTTTCTCGCATGCCACAAATACTTGTGTCAAATGATTTTTTTTGTTATTCATTTAATTTCTATCATCTTCCTTGTTAACGGTTCATAATGATGAACTGAAATAAGAAGATAAACAGAAATAAAAAATTGTGAAAACTATAGGCAAAGATAAAAACTGTCGACAATGATGACATAGTTACCGATTTTACAACTGCAATTCTTGTGAATTAATTCATTGATCAGATTCACAAGCTTTGTTCAACTTTTTTCTGAAGTCTCACCTATACACCTACATAAAATAGTTATAGAATTTCGGCTTTCGCTCATTAGATGTCCTCTGTGAAACAATTCATTGTGGATTTCTGTCTTTGAATAATTTGTACATATCAATTCAGATGTCACTATAAAAACTAATTTTAAATAACCACTGTGTGTGGTACTGTCATATATACGTCTTCTACGGACATGTACCATTTTGGTACTGCGAATTTTGATCAGAAATGTATCTTACACCATCATAAATATTAACATTATTCATTTTCCAAATAATTTGCACTGTTAGGATGAAAGTAAATTCTATATCGATGATACAGATCACAGAATTTTTTTTTTTTTTGAACACTCCGTTAGTTATGCATTTATATATACGTCAATTTTCTAGTAGAAAACAAAAAATGGTGTATTCGAATAGTTTCATAATTTGAAAAATTCCAATTCTAACAAAAATATTAAGCATATCAATATTAGATTTTTTTTCAACATATCACAATAAACATCAGTATTTAGTGATATATAAAATATTGTAGTATTTTTATATATTGTTTAGCTTACCTGAGGTTTTTCAACAAATTCTTCTTTGGTAATACCATACATACGAATTGATCCAGATTTAATAACGGCTTCTTCAGGAATTACTTTAATGGTTATATTCACTACTGCATTGACAGTGTGCCTTATAATTACTGGTTCATTGGATTCCGTAACTTGATAATGTACAACATAGGTTCCTTCCATTGCCATTGGTTTCATCAAAATCATTCCATTATTGGATTTATTCAGTGAAAATTCATCAAAGAAATCTTGTTGAACAAAAACTTTGTCATTCAAATCCCAATCATCTAAATCCTCAACAAAAACTCTTCCAATTTCAATATCTCTGTTTGGCCCATTGGCATATTTATAGACAAAAATACTGCTTTCACCATCATGGGCCTCGTTATCGTTTCTATCTCCTATAATTACTCTTAAAATACTCGTACCACTTAGAGAGGGATTTCCACTGTCAGTGATTGTAATAGGTATGTCATAATATTTCTTCTCCTCCCTATCGAAAGTAACTTTTGCATGAAGCTGATTGACACTGATAGAAAATTTTTCTTGTATTTCACTTGTAGCAGAATCAGACAACTGAAAAGTAAATGGAGGACCATTTTCCGGTGCGTCATAATCATCCGCACTTAAATTTCCGATCAAACCTGGAGGTTCATTTTCATACCAGACAATTTCAGTTACATTTAGAAATGGTGCGTTATCATTTATATCAATGAGAACTATCTGTATTTCTGCAACACTCAATAAAGAATTGGTGCCCCCATCATTATCACGAGCGTATATGAAAACTTGTCTTTCGGGACTCCCAAATGGCGGATCTCTATCAAGAGGTTTTGTCAATTTCACACAACCATCTGCTGTGACACCAAGGAAGTGTTTATGTTCAGTGGCAACCTCATAGGAAATGTGTTGGTCTGCACTTCTATCTTTAATATCTGGATCGTAAGCGGAAAGCCTGATGATACAATCTGGATAGACGGTCTCCTCCTTTTTCTCCACCCTTTTTTCATAATCATAGAATATAGGACGTTCATCGTTTTCATTCAATAAGGAAATAATAACTGTGGCAAAATCTTCAAATGCACCATCAAACGCCCTAATGGTCAAGTTATATTGTTCAATCTGTTCATAGTCCAGTTTTGCATTTACTTTAATTCGCCCGGTAGAGTTTTCAATCATGAACGAATCATTCAAGTTTCCAGCTGTAATGCTGTATGATATCAAAGATGCAGTATCATTATCTAAGGCCAAAACTTCTCCGACGATACTCAATTTATCAGCAAGTTCAGTAATGTTACTAAACTGATAGATGGGGTGGGTAAAACGAGGATGATTGTCATTTTGATCTTCTACACTAATTTGAAATGTCTGGTAGACAATGTTGGGATCAGTTGTATTATAAAGTGCCGAGGGTGAATTGTCAAAGGCTTTTACTTTCACATGATAAAGAGGAACTGCTTCACGATCAAACTCCACTTTTGATGTAATAACACCAGTTGATCGGTCAATAGCAAAAATATCTTGGTTATCCTCCAGTTCGTAGCTAACAATATTGTTAGCAGAAGTTCCATCCTTGTCTATGGCTCTAACCTGTATAGCTTGAACGCCGGGTCGGTCATTTTCTACCACACTTCCCTTTAGAAATTCAAGGAAATTAGGTATCTCATCGTTGACGTCAAGAACTTTAATTGGAATATTTATGGAACTATCCATAGAATCTTTATTTTTTACACGAACCGTCAATGTGTATTCTGTGACAGTTTCATAATCCAATGGACGAACAAGCTGAATATGAGCAACATTACCATCTGGAACTAATAAGAACGTTTGTTCTTTGTTGGTCTGAAATGTTTTGCCTTTAACTAGTTCGTAAACAAGTTCTTTATCCTTTATATTGGACCTATAATGAACGAAAAGAGGTGCATGACAAAACTATTTCAACAAAAAAATCAAAATATCAAATGATCATCAACAAACAAGTCAAAACGTCACTATGAGTACTTACTCTGCTTCAACAGTAACTAAATATTTGGAAAAATCTTGAAAATTTTCATGAATTTCGAGAACTTCTGGAGTTTCAGGTCTGATAAACCTGGGAGGTTGTTTATCAGAGCCGACAACAATTATGGAAATATCAGCCTTGGAAAATTTCTGTCCTTCCTGATCTAATACTCCATTGTCAGAAACATAAACAACGTTGGTAAATCTGTTATTCTTTTTCTAAAAAATTGGAATTGAAAAATACCTCGAAAAGAACCAAAAATTGTTTTCACTTACACCAATTAATGCTTCTTTCAAATATACTACACCAGTATCGCGATCTATTCGAAAATATCGGGAAAACAAATTATTCGGTTCAGAAAAATTATAGGATAATCTAGAATTGTCCCCATCGTCAATATCGTACGCGAATACTCGCATAACTTCACTGCCTGCTTTGAGATCCTCAGAAACTTGAGTGTCATAGTCCTGTAATATATGATTAATGGAGCTCCTCAAACACAAAAAATAAGGTTTAACTTACGGCTTTATCAAGTTGAGGTGCATTGTCGTTTATATCAGTTATGAAAACTATAAAAGTACATATATCGGCAAGAGGAGGTCTACCATTGTCGGTCGCCTGTACAGTTACGTACAACTCTTTTTGTCTGATTGGTTCATCACGATCAAATGGTTGAATAGTGGTGAGTACTCCGGTAACATTATTGATACTGAACATCACACGTTCTCCATCACGGTGAACAATACGATATGTTATTGTACCTCCAGCATCTTTTGGATCATTGTCATAAGCCTTTACCTGAAACCAATGGTTGATTCCGTTTTTAAAACTCGAATCAAATAACTATTCTTATTCAAGTGAGTGATGAACAACATTCACATTCAATACTGAAATTAAAGGTAGAACTGGAACCTCTGGCGTGGAATAAATACAAAATAAGCACTATTCCCAAGCACCAGAACAGCAACACTCTTTTAAACATACGTTTCACCTACGAAGTTGGCGTCTTCAGTAGATGAAGTACACTAATTTCTAACTCTGAAAATGGTCTTCATTTATACCTAACAGGGCACAGTTTCAGATACACGAATATATGCTCATGAACAGATTAGCTATGAAGAAAAGCAATGGATTTTCCATTGCCGTGCCTTCGCATTGTCTTTAGAAATAGTTGTTGAACTGGAAACAACTCTGTTCCATCCGAATTTTTGTTGTAATCCGCGATTACTTCTCCACTGAGACTATTGACCCTCAGAAGATCCCTCAAATATTCAATAGTTTTTGATATAGGGATACTCGGAAACAAAGACGATACATCAAATGATTATAAAATATCTCCTCGCATTTTTACATCTATGAATTCATGTGAATTAACAACACTTGAACTCAGTTTTGAGATTGGGACAGTTTCAAACTGTTTGGTTAGCCATTTAGCAATTTTATAAGTAAGGTAATTAACGATTTGCTGTAAACCTGTAGACTTCTCATCAAAGTCGGTATGATCAAATTTTGACTTCTCGAATGTGTTCATTTCTGAAACCATCTCAGACAATTTGTTCCTTTGTAATTTATTAGGTATAGGGGCCATTTTCAATTAAATTATCATTTCTCTCATAGTAATCTGATGTATCTAATATATAAAACCTTATTGCCTTTGTTTGTTAGGAATCACACGTAAAAGGTAAGACTTCTGAGGGTTATCGTTCGTAGGGATGCGACAGCTGGTTAACGGAAAACAGATCTTGAATTTTTTTTTAAACAGATATAAAACATCTTTCTCTTTCGAAAAATTAATTATCTTTTTTTTGTCTTTTCTATCCGAAATCAATCTTTGATGAATGTCTCAAAGTGAAATTGTCAGATATAAATTGACACCAGTTCTAAAGTTACAAATTAATGTACTTCATCTCCTGGTTGGTTGGTGGAACGCGTGTAGAGTTCTGGTGGGAATATGTATTGAATATTCAATAAATTTCACATGAGTATTGTAATATATACATACACATACTTTCATATATAAATTATTCCCCTTGAAAATTGCCCGATCCAGAAATTCAGAAACAACCTCCCCCGAAATTCAGTTCCATATCCGCCGTTAATATCAATGTTCTAGAGATCAAGAAAGTAGTCCTGTGGATTGAGAAAGTAGTCCTGTAGTTCTATAGCATTTACTATTTCTTTTCTAAATAAATGACCTTTCACAATATTCAGATGATGTTCATGTAACAATATTTGCTGATCAAAATGCAAAACAGCCTGTAGCAAAATTAAAGTCATAAATGAATTATTTCTTGGTGATAGAGAAATGGGTTAATTTTAAACAAGTCAATATCGGTAATTGTCAAATGTTTTCACCAAAAAATGTTACCTGCGATGAAACTTTCATTACTGACAATATCAAAGCCTCTGCAGAAATAGTCATAATATTTTATGCAAGTTTTAAGTTAATTGTCTTTGAAAGTTTTCCAACAAGGTGCTGATGGGGAGTTAGAGACTAGTATTTTCACGCGAAACTCAGAAGTGCAGTAAAAAAAGTTTACCCTGTAAGTAAAATTTTATATGAAAACCCTTTCATATAATAAGTTGTGTATTGCGATCCTGTATATGATTCCCTACAATCCTACATTAAAAAAAAATCACATGTAAAATAAAATAAGGGGTGTTCGAGGATTAGAAGAAAGGTTTAGGTAAATTTATAATTCAAAATTGAAAACTTGAAATTTTCCCCTAACAAATCAGACTCTTCAAATGATTTTTCATTGAAAATGTGGACGGTTGAATAGAAAGCTTTCTAGTATGAGTTCTCTGTCGGTCCCACAGATGGCGTCTTTGCGAGGGAATATGTCGTCGCCCTAATTTACCATACATTTTAGATATCGAAAATTCATTCCTATTTATTCAAAAAATTACCAACAACAAGAGATAACACTTTTGAGTAAATTTAGTAACCCTCATATATGTGACTTGTTAGATTCATTATATCAGTCGTGTCAAATATACGGACGGCGACCGCAATATGTCACAGAAAGAAGAATCATGTTTTTTTTAGAGCTTTTCGACTTCCCTCGATTCCTCTGTGTAAGTTTTGAAATGTGCAAACTACATTTATAAGTATTTTACTTTAAAAAAGCATGCAGCATGCATTCTGTGCATGTTTGGAAGTAGGTACCTATTTATGTGGGCAGATGTTTTTCATTATGAAAATAAATAATAACAAACATCACTTAGGAATGAACATCTCCATCTCTTATTTGAAGCTGGCCCCTCTCAACATTCTTAATTTGATATATGGCCTCTGCAAAATCGAGTTGAAACCTCTGCATTATAAAGATATGCATACTCTTCTGATACACTGTTTGGGGTGTAGTAATGAGTATTACTGGATTTCTATCCCACCAAACCGTTATCACCAAGATGATAACTTGGTGATTGAAACACGTGTCGAGATGTGGAAAATAACGGTTTGGTGTTGGGATGAAACTCCAGCAATATTCATGCATACTCTTGTTTCATTTGGAAGTTAGTTAATACATTATAAAATACAAGAAAACTGAAATACAATTCAGGTGTACTCGTTTTCAACAAAATAATATTGGAGATTTGTGACGTTGTTAGGACTTCCAACAGTTAGAATCTCAAAATAGAGGAACATTTTATAATGTACTCAAAGATCAACTGCCATGCACACCGTGCAAGATAACCTCAAGTTCGAGTAGAAAATAAAAAACCAAACTTTTACATTAGTATTTGTACCTGTGTTACTCTTGTCCCAGCCTGCTGTTCCTCTTTAACATACGGCTTGTATGTTTGACAATCTCTGAATTCCGGTTTATGATTATGAATTTTTATAGCACTTGTTTCTTGGGATGCAACATAGTTGCTTCTGGGATTATCTCCATATCCTGCAACAAGAATCACAATCAGAAAATATATTTTAGCAGATAGGATAAAAAGAGCCCTGCCCGTTTACCACAGGATCATTATATCCCTTATCATGTTATTAGATGCTACTAGGAGAATTGCTGAATGTGGAAATATATTACATCTGCGTCGATCTAACTATGTAACCGACCTCAAATTAAAAGGTGCCAAGTGCCATTGTCAGTTAACCAGTTAGGTAAAGCGAAGCAGTGAAATAATTAAGTAATTTGTTGATTATGTAGCACTATTGAAAACAAAAATTCTCACACCAGGAAAAAAAAATACTGTTTTGACGCGCTAACCAAGTAAGCATCATCAGAAGATGACTAAGAATAAATTTTGATGACTGGTACCTGGCACCGGCTCAACTATTATTCCGTTTTCAGTACATAATCTCTATTATTATTACATTCTTCAAAATAAAATTATTCCATTTCTTTTTACTTTTACGTTCAAGCTTGTAGTTTATTTTTAGTTACTTAATAATTTCTCATTCAAACTAATTCATTTAGTTCCTCATTATCTCTAGGTTTTTTTCCTGTCAGTTTGTTGCAGTTAATTGCTGGTAAAATAATGGCCATATTATAAATTTTTAGACTTTTCTCTGTATGATCGTTCAAGAAATATCATAATATCAAATGATTGGGTGCTACAAAAAGGCAGATTAGGTCTACAGAATACTAGATAAAAAATGTAACATGTACCTAGTCCATCTCATAATTTTATCTAAAGTGAAAATAGTAACAAAAAAGAGATTGGAACTTGAGTATAATAGTTTTCCCCTAAAAATATTTTTAATCAGCCACAGCATTCATTCTCAATAACATGTTAGCATTGAAAGGTTGTTACTGGTTTATGGCGATTTTAAAATTGAGAACAGATCGTAAAACACATGTAACACTACCCAGCATTTAATCCTGCTTTGTTCAAGTTGCTTGTGTGAATACGAGTATTGGTCAAATTTATTGTTTTGCGTTTTAGTCAAAGTGTATTACGCATGGCACTAACAGTAATAGCTTTATTTTCAAAATAAAACACTACTGAATGATCTAAAAACAAAAGTCGGTGCTGGAATAATTGGTTAAGTCGTTGATGAAACTATAATATTTCTCGTGTGTCAACAATGTACTCTTGGAGCGAGTCATAACGTCAATTTAAGATTTCCTCTGGCTGCGACAGTACCAACTACTTTCCACATTAACCGGAAGTAGTTCAGCTCATGCCAGAGATAATTAAAATCAATAAAGCAAGTTTGCATTACTCACATNATTGATAAGAGAATCGTTTTACGAACTGTAAACAGTATTTTTATAGTATTTTTTCACACAACTATTTGAGGTGTTTTTTTTCTTTAAATTGACATAACTTTTTTATTTACAAACCGATTGACGAATGACAACCAATAACTTTGACTCAGTCTGAATTGGGTCCGGACTTATGTGCGAGATAAAGATTAACGTAATCTTACGTTTCAATGTGCGATTCTTAACACAGGCCAGTCGATACGCACCAAACCGAAATGTTAAGTTTCCCCTGTTTATACCGGTATAAATTCATCCATCAAAATATTTTTTCAGACCTTGGTAGATAAAACTACCTCGAAAAAGACATATAATTTCAAACCATTTTTAATAGTCACATGAAAACATCAACATAAAAATGTTTTTTTTCATTTTCAATCAGTATCTATTCCATGAAAACTTTTTTCTACATGAATAGAATACATATTGCTTCAGCAATATAAATAATTCTTACCTTGATTCAAACGTTTTCTGATTTCAAATATGAAAATATAGAAATTTGATAAAAAATCATCAAAATCTGAGTCATTTCTGGGAACTTACGAAAATTTTTTGTTTTACGTATTCATTGACTCTACAGATACGGGGATTCACTGAACATTTGATACGAAATCTCGGTGGACTCCCTGTATATGCAAATAAACGACATGCCTGAATGTGATTTGTTTACGTCACAAGTGTAAGTATTCGATATTTCAAAATTGGTTAATAGCAATAAAAAAATATTTGATTCTATTGATGATGGAAACTCAAGATAAACGTCACTTTGATAAAAACAATCGATAGTAGTCGAAGGATGGGCGTTTCCGTTCTGTTTTATAATTGTATGATTCATCTTTGTCTGATTTCGCCAACCATTCAAGCGTTTTGGACTTGCTAGTCGCGTCAATGAATGTGCAAAACAAGCAATCTCTCGAAGTCCTCAAGAAAGTTTGCTATACGTTTATAAATATGGTAGGTCAAAGATGATCAATTAAATAAAATAACAGGTTTTACAGTACGTCACTTAATAAGATATTAAAAATTTAAACTGAAATTAATATTATTATTTGCATATACACAGATATATACATTCGCCAACTTACGTATAAACATATGAAATAATAATTAAAAATGTGTCAATTTTGCTTGTGGACGTCACACATAAAATCAGATAAAATCACCAGACCTAACAATGAAAGTGAAACAAAAAACAATACTTAAAACATTACAGCGATTAAAAAATGTTATTATTCATTTGTGAAATTATCCTCTAAACTCTAAATATTCCTTATGGCTGTAGTAACAACATCCAGTAAAAATTTTTCAACTTCATTACTGAACACAGTTTCAGAATTCGACCTTTTCATAGACAGTGCCAGTCTGTTGGCCTTACACAATGGATATTTTTTGAAATGGTCACTTGTGAAGGGACCCTCAGAACCGTAGCATGGCGAGTATCCCGGCTGTGAATGCTCAATTTTGTTATGTACAAGTCATAAATAATGATGTTTTTTGTTTCTTATATTATTTGAAAGCAGAAACCGTTCAGAGCGGGAAAAGAATTATTTATCTAGTGCTTAAACCATATGTATGATATTTATGTAGATTTTGTTCTTATTATAAACTAGCGTCCCGCCCCATCTTCGCACGGGGCAATGCTGACACTAAATATACATATAAACTCGTGCGATCGCTGCTAATCATAAAATGCTATAGGGCGAAGCGTGGCCTTCAACGCGCTATTTATAGGCATTCGCCGCCGGTCCCCTGGCCGGTACCGCCGCAACCGCTATGTTCCTGCCTTTTAAATCTGTAATATCTTCGCAAATATTGATTTAAATTACATGCCGTAAAGGACCATATTGATCTATATTAAATGCACAATGTATTTAAGGTATTCAATTGGATAAGGAATAATGTGTATTGCTTAAAATTGCTTCGTAAAAAAGTAAAGGATGAAAAATGGTTATTGTGGGTATTCCTAAGAGATAGACATATACCATCGCGGACTTTTCTCAAGACCTTTTTAGAGTGTACAACAATACTGTAGTGCATTATTTTGATCTATCTCGTAGGTTCGGTCAGCGATTGCAATGTAAGCGCAGTAAAAATGTTTTTATTTATGACATCACATTAGAAACGTCTAAAATTATCAGTGTTTATCTACTATATTATAGATGTTATATACATAAAAACCTTACTCTTGAATTATTCTATATATTAAACAAACCCGCATCAAAATCCGTTGGGTAGTACTGAAAATCTAAGCATGCATAAGGACACACAGCGACAAACGCTATGTAGTGATGTACAACAAATTATTTGAATAATTACTCATACGTTTTTTATGTGATAGTGGAATACGATAGATAAAGGAAACTGAATTTTATAGTAGGAATTCACCACAAAATTTAGTTTGATGAAATTGAAAATTATTCATCGACACTTGTATGGGAAAATAGACAAAAACTAACACCAAAATTACAAATAATACATTGAATTCTTAAATTTACTTGTCTATTGACATACATAAACAAAAAGGAAATTAAAATTTTATCACCGTTGATCCTCCAATCTGCAACCGCCTTTTTGCAAGAACAACATATGATTTTCAAAACGTTCATAGGTGCTGCAGATTGCGTCATTTTGTTCTCAAGTAGTTATATTTCTTTCAATCCCATTCTTCAGAAGATATTACAGTTTTTTCATTGTTGAACTTGCAATTGAACACTTTTGTTAGGTACGTCGTTTTGCTGCATTCTCTATCAGAGGTAATGAATTGAGTTGCATTTCCTTGTTCTTCGAAGCAAATGCTATGAATCGTTTGTAACGCAGTTAAAGTTTTTAGCAGTTTTAGCACCATACATTGTGAGAAACAATCAATACATTCATCAAAAAGTACTTTTTCACAATATTATCCGACCAGAAAAGTATCATCTGCTGCACGTAACTTCTTTTAAAAAATATTTTCCCTTTATTATAAAAAACGAACTTAGTTTGACATTCAGTGAAAAAATGAAAAAAAGAGATGATTTCTTGTAATATTTGGTTATTTTAGACTTACTTGATTTAACTGTGCGAAATTAAAAAAAAGCATGTCAAATACCAAACAGTAGAATGTTTAGTACTCCAATAAAAACAATGATATCAAGATCAAGAAAGTATATTGATTTCCATACAAAAATTGTTGTTTTATTTGCAAAGCGAGCACAATCTTATCAGGTTTCCTATGAGATCATTTCGATTTATGCGTCATGAGTGAAATGACAAAGTGATGAGAAATTGATTTCTCATAAGACAATCTTGGCGAAAACTACAGACCAACAACATAGTTGGTGGTTATTGATTATCTTCATAAACGACTAAGATATACGTTTTGATGGTTAGTGTTTGTAATTACTCTTTATAGCGGTTGAACTATAACTTGCTGATAGGTTATCAATAATACTTCGTCGTAGGTCTATTATACTCGTATGTACTCTCAGTTATACTCAACCCGTTAGATGATTACTTTTAGAACTGAATAATAAATGAACATTTTCTAAATTTGATATAAATAGTTCATAGATCAGTGGTGGAAAAGTCCGCAAGTTTCAAGCAAATACATATTTCGAAAGACATTCAACTCATACGGGAGTACACTAGAAAGTACCAGCACTGTGGCTGCTTAGATTTTAGTCTTCCTCATAAAATTCAAC